GGCCGAGGGGGCACTTGGGCTCTAGGGAATGACCACCAAAGCTGCCCCATGTGGAGCAGCACCCAGACCCTGTGACGGCTCAGCAGGAACAAAGCCAGGCTCTCCCACCACGTGAGGGCCGTCAGGGACCTCTGCCGCTCCCCTCAACACTCCCCAGCCAGGCTCTGCAGCCGCCCACAAGGAGGCGGGGGTGAAGGTGAGAGGCTTGCCCCAGGCCAGCCAGCAAGGTGGGTGGGGAGGCTGCACTGCACCCTGGCCCAGACCTACTCCTCCGATCACCCAGGAGCCAGGGTCAGGCGGGCTCACAGCCACTTTGAGCAGCACAGGAAGGGGGCAGCACGCCCCGCCTGGCCAGGGCTCCAGGGCACAGAGGCCTCCGTCTCTCACCGAGGGGACAGGATGGCCCTACTACTGTCGGGCAAGGCCCCTGACCAGGGACTAGAACCTGGCGAAATACGACTGGAACTGCTTGGAACGGCACACTTGGGGGCACTCTTTGGAGCCGGCTGGTTTGGTCTGCAGGGCTGACTCACAAAGCAGGTGCCGCAGGCAGTGTGGTCAGACACACTGGGGTCGTTCTGTTAGGAAGATTACAGACTGAACAGGAGCCCCGAAAATAATTAATCTGTGAGCGGATTTTACTTAAGTGTTGATTCATGGCTGTTCCATAAGCCAACAGCCCGTCAGAACCATAAATTAACGAGATAAAGTGCGGCTGGCCCTCCATATTTCAGGCCGCGTATTGACGTTTTAGAATCCTCAGATTTTTAACAGTATTGATTGAGGACACCGGGATAAATGGCCTTGCGCCCAGTTCCCATTAACAGTGATGGGCACCGAGTGACTAATTCCCGGAGCTGCGAGAACGCCCGCGCTGACTGCTCCTGGCGGGGCCTTCTAATGAGATTGAAATGAAAAAGCCCAATCACCAAGGGTGGAAAAGGCAGCCCGAGCAGAAGGGAGAGGGGGCTCAGGGAAGAGGAAGGGCCACGTCCGTCAGAATGACATAAGCAGGAGCTGTACATGCCCCCCCACACCTCGGCTGACGAGACCACCCACCAAGGTCCCACGTCCCGGGGCTGCGAGCAGGTGAGGTGGGGACAGGGAGCACCTCTCCCACCGCAACCCTGCTGGGGTTTGCTTCCCTGGGAAGGAGGGATGGCAATGTCCCATCCATCCACACTGATGGCCGCTTGGAGCTGGCCCTGGCCAGGTGATGGAAACACAAAGACCCCCAGACAAGCCACAGTCGCCAGGAGACACACACCGAAGCCGACAGCTTCCCCAGCAGGAGAAGCTCCGCCTGTGGGCTGGGAGGGGTCCAAGCCCTCGACCGGACCCCTTCACGGAGCCCGGCACCAGGCCCTGTACACAGTCGGTGCTCCATAATAACTGCTGACTGAATGAAACTGGGCCATGGGTGCACCATTGCCAGCGGGATACAGTGGACACGTCCTCAACCACCCCCAAACAGGGAGCAAAGCCCTGGAAGCCAGGAGCTGCCTGACCCCCCCACACCACCAGAGACCCGGCACGCAGCTCCCTCACCTCCCACAGCCCCCCGCCCAGGCCTCAGCCTCTCCTACTGCCAGTTTTCCCAACTCCAACCCTTCCCCCCAACAGCTACCACAGACCTGTGCAAAGCCCAAAGCAACCCCACGTCTCCCCTGCTGCCAACACGGCAGCGGTCCCCTACTGCCACCTGCTGCAGAAGCCTCACTCAGCATACAGCAACACTCTGGGGGCGTCGAGAACTGACTCACATGCACACACACACTCGCACACCCACCTAAACTCACTCATACACCCACACGCTCATAAACACTTGCACACCCACACAGTTGCACACCCACATAAACACTCTCATACACTCCTGAACACCCACATACCCTCTAATACATTCTCGCACACCCACACTCTCATAACAACTTCACACACACACTCTTGCACACCCACATACATACACATACCTCACACTCACACGTCCACATAACACCCCTGTATACCCATACACACATACACACTCATACACCCAGACACCCACATGCTCACACTTCTACATACCCAAACTGTCTCTCTCACACACACACATACACACATACATGCAATCCCACACACATACACACCCAGACACATGTAATCTGTCTCACACCCTTGCACATCCACACTCACACTCATATACTCTAGCACACACTCTTGCATGCCCACATATACTTACTCACATACACTCACCCATATACACTCACTCATACACTCTCACACACATATATCCACACACCTACTTACACTCAAGACTCACCCAAACACATACATACACATACGCTTTCATACACACACATATGCAATCTGTTTCTCACACCCACACTCAGTCTCCCACATACACACATACCAACACACATAGACACATGTATAAACACCCACTTGCACACACACACATACATGCACACAGTCACATGTTCATACATGCACACACACATACATGCTCACACTCACAAACACACATGCTCACACGTGCACATACACACATGCTCACACACATACTGCTTTTGTTGGTTTAACATCTGGTGATTGAACATACAGATGGCAAAAGTCCACTGTGAATCCAGTAACACTTTACCAGATGGATTTGTATCTGACAGACCAACAGCACCACCCACCTGAAGCCAGAAGGGCACAGGTGTAAACATGGTGTCACTTCCTCACTCCATGGCAGGCAGTGCCCACGTGCATGGCCCCACCATGGGGACTGCGTGGACATTCTTACGGCTCATCCTACCCCATCCCTGCCATCTGGAATTCACTCTGCATGTCTGTCTCCCCAGCAGATGTGAGCTTTTGCAGGACACTGGCTCATGCCCACCTCTGTGTCCCCCACACTGAGCGTGGCTCACTGGACACACAAGCAGCAGAGTGTAGAGGCCAGGCAGCTGGCTTTGGAGCCTGGCCGGTTACTGGTGCGTGCCTCAGGGCCAGGTGCAGATCAGGGATACTGGCATAACCCACTTTAGGGGCCGCATGGGGGCTGCATGAGAAGCTGCAGGGTGTGTGGGGCCAGGACCGAGGCCATGTGCTGAAGTGCACGTGGTGCACAGCACGTGTTCCTCATCATCTCCTATCTCCCCATCATCAGAGGGCACCACAGTCCCTGAGCCCAGCTGTCCCACCTGCCCTGCAGAGCTCACAGGTGGTGGGGAGGAAATGCGTGTGCCCCGGGGGCACGATCCTCGCAGCCACACACCAGGCCCCGCTTCCCTGCTCCGCCGTGTGCTGCTGCCAGGCCCCACACAAACAACCCCAGCCTCCTCATCTGCCAGACAGGAAGAAGCACCACTACCGCGGGCTGCCGTGGGGCCCAAACACATCTGCTGGGTGCACGGTTGGGCACGGTGCCTGGTCCCAGCAGGGCCCCGTGACCGGAGGCTGCCAACACAGCCACCCCTCCTGAGAGCACAGGACAAGGCAGCAGCTGCGAGGCGCCCTCCACAGCCCAGAGGGGAGCAGGACAGCCAAGAGGTACACCAGCCCCGGGAACCCCAGACCACTTTCCTCCACGGCTTGTTGGAGCGCCGAGGCAGAGCGGCCCGGAGTGGACCAGAGTCTCCTCTCCTTCCTGCTGGCCCCGGGAGAGACACAGGCCCTGATGCCACCCCAACTGGGTCCAGCCAGGCAGGGGCTGCCGGGGCCTCAAGGGAAGCCCTGGGAGCTGGGGTGAACTTGGCCTCTCTTCCTGGCCCAGCCACCAGCCTCCTGGCAACGGAGCCCGCAGAGAAGTGACCGAGGAGGAGCCCTGCACAGAAGACAACGTGAGATGGGAAGAAGAGTCCGAGGCTGAGAGTCAGGGGCCTGGGTGTGAGCCCCAGCTCTGCCACTACCTGGCTCTGTCCCCACCTGTGACCCGCGGGCAGGACCCATATCCCGGGGGTGGGGAAAGTGCTTGAACAGCACCTGTGGCTCCTCACACATTCCCTGCCCTGACTCCTCCCTCCTTCTTGCTGGCTTGTCAAGTGCCCGCTCAGGACTTCCCCACACAGTCATCTTCCCCGGTACCTGCAGGGTAGGTACTAAAGCAGAAGGAATCTGAAACCTCCCTCAGGAGCCAAAATCTTCACTTCCCGCCTTGAAATGGTAATGAGTTCACAGGAAGTCCAACCTGATTCCAACTGTCCTGGTTCCCTAGTGCCTCTCTGACAAGAATGTACCACAGATGGGATGGCTGAACAAACAGGAGTTTATTCTCTTACAGTTTGGAGGCTTTAAGGGCAAGTTCAAAGTGCCAGGCTCTAGGGGCTGGGTGAAAGCCCCTCAACCTCGGGCTTCAGCTCTGCCTCCAGCTCCCGGCCCACTGAAGCTAGAGACTTTCCTTTACTCAGACAGCTGCTGGCTGCTGAGACTGACAAGCCCAACGTTGACAAGTAATAAGGCAGAGTTCCAATGTTACCAAACCACACAGCAGGCCATTAATTCAAGTTCATTGTAAGTCCCCAAGTTGGTAGAGCATGGCAGGCTGCTGAACAATGACATGGCTACATGCATGGTCCAAGCATGCCATAAGCTAGAGACCATTCCCCAAGGCTTCTGTTTAAATACAGGAAGCAGACCACATTCCCTAAGGCAGCTACTCAGCTGCTCACAGTAGATTTCACCATGGAGTCGATTACCAGTCTCATCATGGAGAATACTACACCCAGCTGCCCAGCCACTCACCCAGGCCCAGCCAAGCTGACACTCACACTGAACTACCACACCAACCGAAGGATACCCTGCGAGAGTCAAATCTATTTCACTACAAATTACATGTCAGAAGTGATTAAAATACCACCTCTTCATCCAGCCCCCCAGCCTGAGGCTGAGAGAACCTTGGGGCTCCGTCCTTGGGTCACGATGCATAGTGGTGCCAATAGGCACACCACCTGGAGACCCACTCATCTGTCCTAGGCCTTTGGCAGAGAGCTTCCCCACACGAAGGCTGCCAGCATGGGGTGATCACACAGAAAACGCACCTGTTTCGAGGTCCGTTAAGTGCAAGGCAAAATCGAAGCCACCACTGAGGATGCTCTGGCCACAGGGAGACCAGCGGGCCGCCCGCACCGCCTCAGTGTGCAGGGTGTAGGTCTGCAGGCAGCGCCCCGAGTCCACCGCATCCCACACCTATGAGGCAAACACAGAGACAGCCCAAGGTCACCAACGGCCGGATGCTCAGGCACAGTGCAGCCTCTGCCCAGGTCAAGAGCGCCATACCATTTGACGTTCAAAGCCTTATCTAGAAGCCAAACTTTCCTCAAAGAAACACAAAGGTGTGGGCTTGCCAACTGAGGGGTCCTTGTCCCCCAAATCTTTCTGGGGTGCAGGAGCAAAAGCACTTCCTGGGTCTTGCCACTCACCTAGCCGGCCCTGTGTCTACACCCTACCTGCTCACCCCCCGAGGAGCTGGCTCTGTTGGCCTCTACAGTTCAATCCAGTCTCTCCTCAGCCCAGACCATGTCCCCCGAGACGGCACTCTCGGGTCTATTCCCAGGGCCTGCCTTAGGACAGCCACCCCAAGTTCACAACAGAAAAGGAAGAGATGAAGAGAGCAGTAAAGAAAGGGGAGGAAGTTGAAGGGAGGAGGGGGCGGAGGAAGGACCATTGAATCTGTGGCCAAAAGTGGAAACGTGGGACGTGTTAATCAGCCCCAGACACCTGTAAGGAAACGCACCCATCTGCAATCTGCCTGAAAAATGGCACCCGGGACAAGCAGCACAGAAGTGAGAACGTGGACACACTGAGAAGCAGAGCCAGTGCCACCGAACATGTACAGAAATTACCCAAAGGGAAGCTAATGTGCTGTGTAAACTCTCACCAGAAACACAATAAAACATAATTAAAGGGGGGGAAAAAAAAAAAGCAAGCTGCCTTCAAACTGTGGTTTGAAGAGAAAGCCTGGCCTTGCTCTCCAAGCTGCTTCTAAACAGTGACAGCATCAGTCAAGGCCACCTGCCCGCCCCCCCCTCCCCGGAGCCACCGAAGCAGAGTCCTTGCTAATCACGCTCCCTAACTGAAGTTCATGTTCACTGTCAGGTGGTGGAGACTGACTCCCAAACGCTGCAGCAGCCAGAAGTGTGCATCTTTCTTCAATTACTGATTAGACAGCTCCTCCATCTTTGTGGAACTGAGGACTCGAGCCTTCCGTCACATCTTCTAAAGTGACTTGATGTATTAACGAGAGACGTTCTATGTGTCCCGTAAAAAAAGCCCCGGGTTTGGAAACAGCATGACAAGTGAAATGTGGTGCTGTCACCCGCCCATCCCACGAGAAACCATGTGGTTACCGTGACCCCAGCCCACCCCAGAGTCACCCGCCTCCGACTGTGAACGTGACCGAGTGCTTTAGCCATAGGCAACATCCCACCGGCCTGTTTTAGTTTTGATTATAAAAGAAGACAACCTCTTTGTAAAATATTCAAACTCCACAGAACCGCCCAACTACAATCCCCAGGAGTCCTCTACGGAGCTGCTGCTTCTCTGATGACACTGGAAAGAAGTGTGCTGTGTAAGTTTGTCAAAACTCCGAAACCCACAAAGAAGAGATGAGTCATCTGTGATCCCACCATCTGGAGATTGCAGCTGTCAGACTTCTGGTAAACCCGTGCCTCCCGTTTGTCCTGCACCCCAGCTCCTGCCTCAAGGAAGCCTCCGAGCTCAGCTCCGGCACCTGCTCGGCACCTGGCCTCCCCTCCACCTCTCGGCAGCCCTCCTTCCCCACAAAGTGTGCCTGGAGCCCCTTCTTACACCCCACAAGTCAGCACCCAACACTTCACCAAACTCATGGCATCTGGGACGGGGGGCTGAGAACCACCACTGCCTGGAGTTGGCTTTGGGGACCCTTCATGGTGCGTGTACCAGGGCTGGAATGGAATTCAGGCTACAGACCAATCTGGGGAGACATCTTAACAATATGCAGTCTTCTGATCCAAGAACAGAAAATCTCTCTCCACTTCCTTAGGTCTTCTTTAGTGTCTCTAAGGAGCCCTGGTGGTATAGTGGTTAAGGCATTTGGCTGCGAACCACAAAGCTGGCGGTTTGAACCCCCTAGCTGCTCACAGAAGAAAGCTGCTCACGGAAGATTTACAGCCCAGTGGGGGTCACTATGAGTCAGAATCGACTCGATGGCAGTGAGTTTGGTTTAGTTTCTCTAAGCAATGGCTTGTGATTTTTCAGTGTAAACATCTTGGGTATCATTTGTCAGTGTATCCCTAATTATTTTATATTTTGATGTTATTATAAATGGAATTTCTTAATTTTCATTTCAGATTATTCTTTTCTACGATGTAGAAATTCAAGTAATTTTTGTACATTGACCTTGAATTCTGAAGTGTTGCTAAACTCTCTTACTAGTTTTAGCAGCTTTTTTTGTAGAGTCTGTAGACTTTGTACACAGACAATCACGGATCTTGAGGCCTTTTGTTTGTTTTGCTCACCTCATTGTGCCAGCTAGGATGACAAGGGAGATGGCATGATAGAATTTTACAAGACCAACAACTTATTCATTGCAAATACCTTTTTCAACAACATCAAGTGCAGCTATACATGTGGACCTCACTGGAGGGAATACACAGGAATCAAATCAACTATATCTGTGGAAAGAGATGATGGAGAAGCTCAATATCATCAGTCAGAACAAGGCCAGGGGCCGACTACAGAACAGACCATGAGTTGCTCATGTGCAAGTTCAAGTTGAAGCTGAAGAAAATTAAAACAAGTCCAAAGATCCAAAGTACGACAATCTGGCTTCAGAGACTACCTCGAGAATACATTTGCCATGTTGAACACTAATGATTGAAGACCAGACAAACTGTAGATATCATACATGAAGAGGGCAACAGGTCAATAAAAAGACAGAAAAGAGTAAAGACACCAAAACAGATGTCAAAACAGATTCTGAAACTTGCCCTTTAACAACACCTAAAGCATAAGGAAGAAATGATGCCATAAAAAGCTGAAAGAAGACTTCAAAGGGCAGCTCAAGAAGACAAAGTCACATATGAATTATGAAACATGCAAAGACCTGGAGTTAGAAAACCAAAGGGGAAAAACACTCCACATTTCTCGAACTCAAAGAACTGAAGAAAAAAATCCAACCTCAAGTTGCAATATTAAAGGATTCTATGCTCTGGTGAGGAGCTCTGGTAGCATAGTGCCTAAGGCACTTGACTGCTAACCAGAAGGCTGGCGGTTCAAACCCACCAGCCACTCCTCGGAAGGAAGGTTGGGCATTCCTACTTCCGTAGTGATACTGCCTCGAAACCCAAGGAGGGGTCGCTATGAGTCGGGGCCAACTCGATGGCATATAACAACAACAACAACAACATGCTCTGGTGGCATAGTGCCTAAGGCACTTGACTGCTAACCAGAAGGCTGGCAGTTCAAACTCACCAGCCACTCCTCGGAAGGAAGGTTGGGCAATCTACTTCCGTAGAGATACTGCCTTGGAACCCCAAGGAGGGGTGGCTATGAGTCAGGTCCAACTCGACGGCACATGACAACAACAACAACAACAACAACAACATGGGCAAAAAAACTGACTGACACAGGAGGCATCCAAAGAGGACTGAAGGAATGCACAGCAATGTACACAGCACTGTACCAAAAAGGATTGGTCGATACTCAGCCATTTCAGGAAGTAGCACATGATCAAGAACCAATGGTACTAAAGGAAGAAGTTCAAGTTTCACTAAAGGCTTTGGCAAAAAACAAGCCACCAAGAACTGATGGCATACCAACTGAGATATTTCAACAAATGGATACAATGCTGGAAGTGCTCACTCGGCTATGCCAAGAAATCTGGAAGACCGCTACCTGACGAACTGACTGAAAGTGATCCACATTTGTGCCCATTCCAAAGAAAGGTGATCCAACAGAACGTGGAAATCACTGAACAATATCATTAATATCCCATGCAAGTAAAATCTTACTGAAGATAATTTTAAAATGTTTGCAGCAGTACATCAACAGGGAATACCAGAAATTCAAGCTGGATTCAGAAGAGGACATGGAATGAGGGAGAGATAACATTGCTGATGTCAGCTGGATCTTGGCTGAAAGCAGAGAGTAACAGAAACATGCTTACTTGTGTTTTATGGACTATAGAAAGGCACCTGACTGCATCATAACAAATTATGGATAACATCTCAAAGAATGGGAATTCCAGAACACTTAATTGTGCTCATAAGGAACCTATACATAGACCAAGAGGCAGTCGTTCAAACACAGCAAGGGGTTTAAATCAAGAAAGGTGTGCATCAGGGTTGTATCCTTTCATCATATTTATTCAATCTGTATGCTGATTGACATGATTAGCAAATAATCTGAGAAGCTGGACTATACGAAGAACGCAGCATCAGGATTGGAGGAAGATTCATTAACAACTTGTGATATGGAGATGACACAACTTTGTTTGCTAAATGTGAAGAGGACTTGAAGCACTTAGTGATGAAGATCAAAGACTATGCCTCAACATAAAGAAAAATCCTCACAACTGGACCAATAGACAACATCATGATAAACACAGAAAAGACTGAAGTTGTCAAGGATTTCACTTTACCTGGATCCACAATCAACACCCGTGGAAGCAGCAGTCAAGAGATCAAATGATGGATTGCATTGGGCAAATGTGCTGCAAAAGACCTCTTAAAAGTGTTTTTCAAAAAAAAAAAAAAAGATGTACCTTGAGAGCTAAGATGCACCTGACCTGAGCCATGGTATTTCCAACCACCTCATATGCCTGTGAAAGCTGTACGACCAAAGAAGACGACGACGACGGAAGAACTGATGACTTTGAATTGTGGTGTTGGTAGAGAACACTGGCCATACCATGTGCTGGTGAGGAACACTGAAAGTCCCATGGGCTGCCAAAAGAATCTTCCCCAGAAGAAATGCAGCCAGAATGCTCCTCAGAAGCGAGACTGGCCAGACTTTGTCTCACCTACTTTGGTCAGGTTGTCAGAAGGGACCAGTCCCTGGAGAAGGATGTCATGCTTGGTAAAGTGGAGGGTCAGAGGAGGGGAAGGCCCTCAACGAGATGGATCGACACAGTGGCTACAATAATGGGCTCCAGCACAGTGGGGATTGTGAGGATGGAACAGGACTGGGCAAGACTTTGTTCCATTGTA